ACACTCAGCATGACCCTGGGCGTGAAACCCGCAGGCCGTTCCTGAGAAGTGGATCGGAGCCTCCGCGTAAAGGCTCCGGTACTGGCAGGTGAAATGACCTCCGTTCCCTTTCATGACGACCCAACCAGAGATCCTGGAAGGGCAGACGGTTCCCTGTGACAGAGTAGCCAGCTGTCCGCTTAGACACGTTCCAGTAGGAATTTTTTTTTCCATTTTAAAATTTCAGAGCCAAAGGCAGTTTACCAATCCAGCTAAATGGTCAGCCTGCTTGGGAGCTACTGCTTGAAATTAGGACTTAACACATTAAATATTCCTGGGGAAAACGTACGAAGCGTGAGCCAGACCCTGCCGGTGGTGCTGGCTGCTGGAGCCAAGCGAAGCGTGAGCCAGAAGGAACGACCGCCCCAGACCCTGCCGGTGGTGCTGGCTGCTGGAGCCAACGTCGCCATCAGCGGGCGCCTTGCTGCGTGAAAGGACAGGACACTTCAATCCACTTTGCCACCACGAGAACGCGTACTGCACTGCCCTTTCTGCAGGAACCGAGCCACCTGCCGGCGAGGACGCACACCCATGTCTCAGCAAATGCCACGTGCAGGTCCCCAAGTGTGTCATGCCCACTCAGCGATGCCTGTGGGGATGTGCATCTCACACGCAGAGGGCTCAGCCGTAGAGGTGCAGGTGATGCCTGCAGGGGGGGCCCCGTCGCTGGAGGTCAGGCCAGGGGTCTGGGGACAGGCTTCAGAAGGGGACCTCAATGTCTCGTCCTTCTCCTCCCCAGCCTTGGTGGGACGAGCTGCAATGGGCCAGCAGGCCCTACCCATCACACGGGCAGCCACTGGTTAGGGACTGTCCCAAAGGGCCAGAGTGGCCGCAGTGAGAAAGATGACCAGGAAGGTGGCTCTGGACAACGTGCCAGCAGCAGAACTCCTGAGGCCGCTGGGCTGGGCCCATGCCCTGGCGTCCCACCCCTACCGACTGCCCTCCGCGCAGCTGCCCCGGGGGGTGGGGCTATGGGGAGGCCGGAGTCTTCCAGGCGGGGTGTCGGGTGAGCAACAGGGTCACAGGCCAGAAGCCAGCATCTCAACACCCTCTCTTCAAACTATAGCTGGGAGCTAGGGTCACATCGTCACCTGAGGTTGCAAATCTCACTCGTGACACCTTCAGGAAGAGGCTACGAGCTACTATGACCTAAACCGAAGAGAAATGAACACAGGCACCCACACGGCCCTGTGTCCGCCGACGGGAGGGTGAGCCAACCCGAGGCAGCCTGCCCGTGCAACGGGGTGTGACACGCGCTGCAGTGTGCACGGACGAAGAAAAAGTGAGGCCAGGTGAGAGACCCAGGCGGGAAGGCCACACGCCGTGTGACCCCGGGGCCGGGGCCGGGGGCCGGCTGAGGGCAGGTGAGAGTGGTGTCCCAGAAGTGATGTGGGGTGGCCGTGCAGCTCTGAGCTGTACCCCGCAAACAGGGGGTGGGTGGGACAGGAGCCAACTCCTCGATAACTTAAAACAGCCTGATTCCTGGGGCCCTGTGGGGAGACGAGGTGGCATGCAAGGCCCTGCACACCTGTGCTCGGCTCCATATTCCTGTGCAGGGCCCCGCACACCTGTGCTCGGCTCCATATTCCTGTGCAGGGCCCCGCACACCTGTGCTCGGCTCCATATTCCTGTGCAGGGCCCCGCCCACC